ATGTTCTGGAAGTTTTGTTGCCTAAGGTTTCGCCAGCATCTGTGACCGGCATCTTCAGAGAGCAGGAGCACAGGCAGGAGCAGTTCTCTCTGTGCTCCTGGGCGGAACGTTAGGAAACAAAACTTCCAGAACACGGCCACACAGCCTGGAAGACCCACACCAGCCACGATATGATCAAACTCTCCCGTCCAGGGTAGTGGCGTGTAGCTGTGTATTGCACAGCTTTTGTCGTTTTCTTCTCCAATCACGGTACACATTATACACATTCTCTTTTAAAATCCTGCTTTTAAAAAAATTAAAGACTAAGAGACATCTAACGGAGCAGTTTCCAGCAAAGGCTACCCAGCTGGTTCTAGGTCCCTTTTGCTTGTTCTAAGCAGTTTGCATTCAGAGACTTACATGTCAGAATCAAAATAATGCTTTGGTGCTGTGTATTCATGTCTGCCATTCTTAGGCATATGTGCAGAAGCAGCAATTGAAAAGACATGCAGCAGAAATACAGGATAAAGTGAGAAATTACCCCTCGATGTAAAGCAGTGCATCCCAGGATATCAGCTGCATCAACAGATGCCTCTTTTTCAAGTAACAAAGAAACAGCGTCTATGTGCCCATAAGCCACAGCTAGCATCAGTGGAGTTCTAAAAAACAAGAGGCCCATAATTTTCATCATATATTCCTGATCTGTGACTTTATTCAATGTATTAGCCAAAAATATTTGCCACTTCTCCAAACATTGCCACATCCATCAGTTTCTATCCATGTTGCCAGATGTAGCTAGATTTGATAATACTGGAGCTTCATGAAGCATTAATGTTCAATCTTTACCCATTATCTAAAAATGAGCAGCAAAATGTTTATTTCTTATTAGTTGTCTTTGCCTAGTGCTGCTTCTCCTACTTAACTGTTTCTGTTTGGGTATTCTTAAGGCGAAAATGAGAATGAAAAGGAGTAGACATCAACCCAACCTACAATTATGGAAATAAAACAGTATGTTAAATTTCTATTTAAAACATGTCTCCCACAGCACTCCCATTAATTGAAAAAAAATCAAAATAATGCTAGTGGTAACACTATACATAAATAAAATAAAACCTGTTGCATATGGCTACATTTATTAACCAATTTCTGGATTTCAGTTCTTTGTCACACGGTAGTATTATCAGAGCCAGTTTATACAATCGAGAGGAAAAATGTTTTCTGCCCTTCAGCAATTCACAGCTGGATGTTCTCGGGAGAAACCAGAGATAAATTCATTGCACAGAGAAAGATGTGCTATTTTTCTTTGTGCAAGTAGATTTTTATAGGATATAATCACATCTAAAAGAACTGACTCCAAGAAAAGAGATTCAGAGGTAGCTAGAGTAGGCTCGCCTTTCAAGATTCTAGTTCGTATTAACAGGAGACACATTTAGTCTGCATTCCTAAAGAGTTCTTTACTCCAAACTTTTATTCTCACTACCATTTTGTCTAAGATGTAAAATAAAGAACTTGGGAATACAGTTGCAATAAAGGAAGAACACACATCTGGTATCTAGCATGGGGTAGAATGCTTTCTGTGGCAGAAATCCCAGAGACAAATCTACTGGACATACATAGACAATGCAACACCAACTGTAATCTCATTTCCTTAGGATTGCTGAAAATTTGCTTCTTCTATTTCTTGCCTCACACGAGCATGATTCTTGTCCTTGGTTACCAGTTTCTTAGAGCTGTTGTGTCCAATGGTTTTTCTCCTCTCTGCCTCCAATGCCATCAGCAAAAGAACCGGCAGCAGAACCATTAATTGGTTAGCCATGGCATGGAAAGGATATCCTTATCCTAATTTGAGGATATTACATTAACTTCTGAACATCCTTGAATGAGGACAACATGGCCACGTATTTATATCTAAATGCTATTGCTTAAAATGTTCCCAAGGTCACTCAAAATTATAAATGTACAATAAAAAATTCCAAATGAAATAAACTTACTGTCCTTTGGCATCCACTACGTCAGGGTTATCTGTTACTTCTAATAAAAGTCGTAGACATGATGTATGACCATTGATGACTATAAAGGGTAAAGACATACTTTAAATGTTTTGCAAATAAAAGCCCGGAAGGAGTCAAACTTCTATCAAGTAATATTTAGGAGAGAATGTCTATGGCTAATCCATTAAGAAATAAAAATAACCCTATATATTCACTCCTGAAATTTGTTTTCTAATATAAGAAGTAAATTTAGATATGAATTTTAATTATTGAATTCCTATTCATTAATATTTTAATTATTTAATCTTATTCTCCAAAAATAGTGACTGCCACAAGAAGAAGAGCCAAAACACATATTTGCCTTTGATGGGATGAAAAAATAGATAGTTGAGAAACAACATTCAGATTTTTCTACATACACTGGTAGAAAAAAAGCATTACATTTTCAAGATTGTTTTACAACACTGCTGTAGCACCCAAAGACACATGGCAAGTAACAGCAGCAGCAGGTGACAAAGTCTTGAGCTTCTACTATAAAGAAATCCTATCTAATGTAGCCACGTTTGGCCTGTTTCAATTATTATTGATGGACAACGTAAACACTGCATTCAACCAACAGAGGTCTCTGTCAGGCCATGCTAAGATAATGCATTATTTCAATACAAAATATTATATTTGGTTTATTTGTTAGCTACTCTAAAACTAATGGAGAAACAGAAATGTATAATCAGCTCTAAACCAGAGCATAAGGAAAATTAAATAGGTTTATCCAATTACACGTGAGTTGATCTAAACTCAAAATGCCTAACAGCGAGTCCAAGTTAGAGGAGAAACAGATTTACCAAATCTAATCCACAGAATCCTGAGATCCACTAGCTGGAGTCTGGTATAAGAGGCACAGAATTCTGAACTCAGGAATGTGTTCTAAGCACCAGAACTTGAATGGAACTTCACAGATAATCCAATCTTGGTTATCCCAAGCTTTCTTCATTTCAGTGATATAACTGAGAAATGTTGGGGTACCATTTGGTTGGACAAAATGATCATGCACAATAGGAGTCAGAAGATCTGTAGACCCAGATCTCATTACTGCTCAACCCTGCAATAAGTTGTGGAAATTTGATGAACTGCTAATAAGGTTCAAGGACCAAGACTCACTATAAATATCTGATCTATACCATCTTGATCTGTTTTGAATAATAAGTTGTGCCTACTTTTCTCTATTTCCTCATTATTAGGAGATTAGCAAAAAAATGCATTTTGAGCATGGTACAGATTAACTCATTAGTGATGAATGAGGATTTCCAGAGAAATAAAGTTGAGAGATTTTCTTAATTTTCTTATTCACGGAGAACTTATGTGGAATAGTAATTTTCTAAAACTGCTATAATTTGTTTGTCTCTTCAACTAGGATTATTATGTAGGACTCTGAGGTCAGAGAATACACAAAATGACATTAACACATCAGTGGGAACTATACATAAACCAGAGTTTGCCGTTTTTGCAGCAGTTATTTCCCACCACTAAGGAGGCAAGAAGCTTTTCTATTTAAAAAGGGACCAAACTTTGTAATAGCAGATGGTCCCCATGAGCTTTTCTGCATACCATTCTTTTTAATTGCAGTCAGTCTATCAAAATAATAGCATCTCACATACCTGAGGCATGAAGCGGGGTTCGTTGTGTGATGTTATCTTTCACTGTGACAGAAGCACCCTGATTGATGAGCGCTTCGACACATTCCATGTGTCCTTTAAATGCAGCAAGGTCCAGGGCCGTACGTCCTTTTTCATCCTTAACATCCAGATCTACTAGTGACTGAAGCAGCACCTCCAACGCTTGATGATGACCATTATAGGCCTAGGAAATAGAATCAGATACTTAAGACCAGTGATTTTCAAACACTGAGAATACGTCAAGATTTCTTCTGGTATAATTACAAACTGGAGACTGAAGAAGTCTCATTAGGCTGATGAAACCTGTTTCACAAAGTATTTACCACATCAAGATAAACTATACTTTTCAGGGTTTTTCTCTGAAATTGCATTATTAAAAGATCATTAAAACTGGTACATAAACTAACCCTGTAGGGATTTTATCCTACTAAAAAGTAAATGAAAATAGAATAATAATTTTTGGAAATAAATAATATATGCATCCCAAGAGAAGAAAAGAATCTGACTTGGGGAACAAAAGTTACTTATTTATTTATAATTTTTTTTAAAAAAAAATGTTTTTATAATCCACACCAATCTGGAAAAAACCCTGGGATGCATACGACATCAAACAAAAAGAAAACAGAAAAATGGAATAATAATAAATAGTTAAAACCAAATACTATCAACAAGTAAAAATAACCACCAAAGCAAAGATAAAATCCCAAATAAAAGACAAGATAGATGCCACAGTAAGTCAGCTGGGTCTGGAAGCATACTGAAGGAAAAGTTTTCATCAGTTTACATAATCACAGCAAGATGGAAGCTGCACATACTTCTGGGGGGAGAGAATTTCATAAGGTGTTCTGTGTATGTATTTCTGTGCATGTGGTAATGAACATTTTGCAAAAAGAACTGCTCAAAACAGTTTGAGGGGAAGCTTAGCAATGGGCAAATTAATTGTAAACAACATATATAAACCAATGCATTTTAAACCTTTGAAAGTTTCTCAGTATTTTGTTTGATTTGTATTACTTGGCTATAATGTCTCCAGTTGTGGTTAATACACGGTAAGGACTTCCTTGTGTGACAAATCCCTATTTAGACTTAAGTAAAATTAGTGACATTTTTGGTTCTCATATTACATTGCAATTAATTATGTTACTACACTAATTACAGGCTCTATCCCTGAACTCCTTTATAAGTTTATGTTCCCAAACGTGAGAATCTTTTATTAGTACCGTAATGGTAAGTGCATCAACTCAGCTTATCAAAGTTTCAATGAAAAAGAATTTTCAAACAAATGTTAGCCACATTTGCTTATCTAACTGTAATTGATATGTGGAGCTGCAGTCAGACTGATGTCCTGAAATTAATTCTAAAGCACACAAAATTGCACTTAATATGAATATACCCTATATGAATAATTTGGACATAATAGAGAAATAAACTCTTACATGATTTTTGGATTTGTTATTCTAGCCAATAGTATAATATCTAGATCAGCCCCAAAATGCAGCTTAAATAAATCTGATCTCAACCCTTTCCCTATCTCTAAGAGGAGGCTTCTGTTTTAGAGAATGCTTAGCTTTGCAGTGGCAAAGTTTTAACCTGGGGATTTTTGGCTTTGACCCATGAATTTGGTTAGAGAGATTTGGGTATGCCTCAAAGAAAACAATTCTCATCATAAGTAATAATAAATTTTAGATAAGAAACAGAAGGCCATGTGATCTCATTAGAACAGTATTTCTCCTAACCTATACTTACAGCTAAATGCAAAGGACTTCTTGCTGCTGTTGAGTCTGATTCCTCAAAAATGTTATTTGTTTTCTCCAGAAGCTATAACAAACAAAAGAAATGAAACAATTTATACCTATGGTGAAAAAGTAATGCACATAACATGCATATTTAACACATGTCCTCTGAGTTAACAAGAAACACCAGAACTGTATGGAAAGGAAGTGACTTTCGTGAATTGTTCTTCTTCCCTAAATCTTTCCTATCTTCTAACTTGCTCCAAAACACTGGGGACTAACATCTGCGAAGCTGTATAGGGATTGCAAGGAATATGATAACAACAACATTTATATTGCACCTTTATTTATACAACTCAAGGCTGCATCCAGAATGCTCCCACCTCCTATTTCCCCC